CATGCCGGTTCCATTGAACTTTGTAAAACCAAATGTTGTATTGAAAAGTACACAAAATTCCTGAAAAAAATTTTGCCAGAAATGGGGGGTACTTTTTGTTGTGGTTATTTCCTGCAGTGCTGTAAGCAACCATAATACCAAGCATAATACTTAGTACTGTTTCGTTCTTACATACTTAAAAGTCTCATTGTAATTTAATTAGAAAACGATTATATATGATAGTACCTCGCAATTGCTAAGTAATACTGAGAAAAATACGTAGTATTATGGTTGCTTACAGAAATACGTCTGCTAATGCGAAATAGTCAGTAAAAGGTCAGTAAAAGGCTGCAGGTTGCAGAGTTGTTTGAGTGGAACGTCACACTGTAAAAAACTCCGTACTTTTGCACGGAAATGGTACAGAAAAATATAGTACGGAGGTACGGAGAAATGTACGGAACGTTCCGTACTTGCTCCAAATGAACCCATGTAAATGGGTGCGGAAAAAAGTACGGAACGTTCCGTAGTTGACAAGTACGGACGGTCCAGGCAAATTATTGACCAGACATGTTCCGTACTTTTTCCGTACTTTTTTCTCACAGTGCAACGTTGCGTGCAGGTACGAGAGCCTGGGCGTGGTGGGCGAGGGCTCCTACGGCCTGGTGCTGCGCTGCCGACACCGGGAGAGCGGCCAGCTCGTCGCCGTCAAGAAGTTCATCGAGACCGAGGAGGACCTCACCGTCCGTAAGATGGCGCTCAGGGAGATACGCATGCTCAAGGTGAGTGCTTTCAAGGTAGAATGAAAAGTCATTCGACGCAAAGCTTCAACCACATGTGATTCCCTTGCAAGAGTGATTTTCGTGCGCGGGAAAAATACATTGTCCCGGTTGTCAAAGGGCGGTTCCATAGGCAAAGTCGATAGCTGCAATCGTAGCCGCAAAAAAACTGTATTGGACAACAGATTTGTGTTGTCAATGTTGCAGCACTGTTAAGAGAAGTCGTTATTTTACAACAGTAATCTCAACAATTAGTGTTGAAATTTTTACAAATAAAAATTTCGTAAATTAACTCAAGATTCATGACATGAACAATTGTAATATTTTCGACAAACTTTACTCATAAATTTAGGGAAAAAATTTGTAATTTTACGATGAAATCTTATTGTTACTGACGAAAGATCGTAGTTTTACTGAAAAATCGTTTATCTTTCGACTATTCTCGTTTTTTAACGCGTAAACTTGTTTTCTTTCAAAGAAGCTTTATTTTAAGAATAGTTTCCTGTTTAAAATTTTTACCCCGAACTGCACTGTTTTTTTACAAAGTAAATTGTAAATTGACAATTTGTTCATCATTTTACAAACTGCTTCTTAAATTTACAGGTGAAATCGTAAATTTACAAGTATGATTGTAAAAGCAAGTCTGAAAAAGTGCGTTTTCGTCCGTTGTTTCCTTACTATATAGGAAGAAAAAATGCCTGAAACGACCAAAATTTGAGGATAAAGTTTGTAAATTTAAGAATATTTTTGTAAAATTGACGAAAAAAAGTTGGATGATCAGATGGTTTTTTAAATTTACGAGCAGTTCGTGGTACAAATTTAACAGACAATTAATCGTAATTTCACAAAATAATCCCGAACAGTGAGTTTTTCGCTATAATTCCGATTTTCATAGCAAAGGTGCTATGATCATGGCAGAATTGCGTTGTGTAAAAATCATTGCATCTAAAGAGCAATGATTCGAGAGAATCACATTTTGGGTATCATAACACGTTTTTGTGTTGCAAGTTCGAAGCCTGGATAACAGTGAAGGGAAAGTTTTTTTTTTCCGAGTGATTGAAACTTTGCCTTAAATAATTTTAACTCTATTTTCAAGTGTTTTCTTTCCTTATTTTTCGTGCTTGCAATCCGTTTTATTGATTGACACCGAGTCCTCTCGGGAAATGGCAATTGTTAGAAGCTGCGCCACGAGAACCTGGTGAGCCTGCTGGAGGTGTTCCGGCGCAAGCGGCGCTTCTACCTCGTGTTCGAGCTCATGGACCACACCGTGCTGGACGAGCTGGAGGAGCGGCCCGGCGGGCTGGGCAACCACACCACCAGGCAGCACATCTTCCAAGTGCTGCGCGCCGTCGAGTTCTGCCACGCCAACAACGTGAGTGCCGTCACTGAAGACACTAACACACGCACACACACACGCGCGCGCACACACACACACAAATATTTTGAGGAAATTTGGTTACGAAGTTGATTTTCGCTCTAAGAACCTGGCAAACTATTTTACGAAACGAAAAGTTTGTTGTAAAAAAGTATTTTGAGCGTGCTTAAGCTTACAAAGTAAATAGTTCGTTTGTGTACAAACCATTTCTTCGTGACACAGAGCACATACAGAGTGTCCGTAAAAAAAAAAAATTTTTATGGTTCACCGCAAAAAAAAAATTGTGCTTTGTCACGGAAAAACTACAGAAGAAATGAGCACGGAAGTAAGTTCCACCTTAATGCATGTTACCGGGTACGGGAAAAAACGGAAGAGTACGGACGGTCCACCAGACTTGTTCCGTATTTTTTCCGAACTTTTTTCTCTGAATGTTGTTAGCGTCTGGTTGCGGGATGCCGAAATGCTTTCGCTCTGGCTGCAGATCGTGCATCGCGACGTCAAGCCGGAGAACGTCCTGGTGTCGCGCCTGGGCGTGGTCAAGCTCTGTGACTTCGGCTTCGCCCGCCTTCTGGCCTCGCCCGGCAAGACGTACACGGATTACGTGGCGACGCGCTGGTACCGCGCGCCGGAGCTCCTCGTCGGCGACAACAAGTACGGCAAGTAAGTAAGTCCCGCCGCCGGAGCTCCTCGTCGGCGACAACAAGTACGGCAAGTAAGTAAGTCCCGCCGCCGGAGCTCCTCGTCGGCAACAAGTACGGCAAGTAAGTAAGTCCCGTCGCCGGAGCTCCTCGTCGGCGACAAGTACGGCAAGTAAGTAAGTCCCGTCGCCGGAAGCTCCTCGTCGGCGACAACAAGTACGGCAAGTAAGTAAGTCCCGCCGCCGGAGCTCTTCATCGGCGACAAGTACGGCAGGTTAAGTCCCGCCGCCGGAGCTCCTCGTCGGCGACAACAAGTACGGCAAGTAAGTAAGTCCCGTCGCCGGAAGCTCCTCGTCGGCGACAACAAGTACGGCAAGTAAGTAAGTTCCGCCGCCGGAGCTCCTCGTCGGCGACAAGTACGTCAAGTTTCCCGCCGCCGGAGCTCCTCGTCGGCGGCAACAAGTACGGCAGGTAAGTAAGTCCCGCCGCCGGAGCTCCTCGTCGGCGACAACAAGTGCGGCAAGTAAGTCCCGCATGTTGCCGCAGTGTCGTGACGTCAATGTCGGCCTCACCGCGATGAGTCTGACTTCTCCTAACCCGACTGCTCGGTGCCGCAGGGCGGTGGACGTGTGGGCGGTGGGCTGCCTGTTCTCCGAGATGCTGTCGGGCGACCCGCTGTTCCCCGGCCAGTCGGACATCGACCAGCTCTTCCAGATCATCAAGGTGCTGGGCAGGCTGTCGCCGCGCCACCAGCAGCTCGCGGCGCGCAACCCCATGCTGCGCGGCCTCAAGCGGGGCTCCCTGGCCGCGCCGCCCCCCGCCGCCCCCGCCGGCGGCGCCGCCCCCGCGTGCCAGCCGCCCGGGGACGAGGGCGCGCGGTCGCTGGCCCAGCTGTTCCCGTCGTGGCCGCGCCTCGCCCTGGACGCCGTGTCGCTGTGCCTGCGCCTCGACCCCGCGCACCGGCCCGCCGCCGAGACGCTGCTCAGGCACCCCTACTTCTCGCACGACCGCTTCCCCGACAGGTACGCGCCTACACGCCGAGGCCAGGGGGTTGGCTCTTCGGGCAATCGTTTGAGGCTGTGTTACGGTGGGACTTAACATTTATTACGGCATCGAAATGCTACGCTCTAAATTTCTTTACACTAAATTAGAATTTTGTACGTCATGACGCACGATTTTAAACCTGCGTGACATTTTGCATGAAATTGTGCAGAAATTCGCATAAATTTATGCATTTTCACGCATAACATTATGCAAATTCCCCGCATGCACAAAATCGTGCAAGTGGCACGTACAAAATTCCACATAAACATTTAGTGTGTTGGTCAAATTTTGTTCGTGGTTTCACACAATTTTGAGCCTACGTACTTTCTATACGAATTTGTACGCTATTTTGCACGAATTTGCGCAAATCTGCGTACAAAGTTGTGCGAAAAAAATTGCATGTTTAAAATTGCGTGAGGCCTTTGGTGACTCCTATATAGTTTTCCTATGGTTCCTGCGTTAGATTACATTTTTCCTTTCACTCGTCGAGAGGCACTCAAAGCGTCTTGGCCCTCACCCTTCCTTCTCGCTCGCGTTGCCAGGTTCGTGCCGGAGCTGCGCGCCAAGGTGCAGCAAGAGTACTCCAGCAACCCCTTGCTGCGGCGGCTCCACGGCTCCGGCTCGGGCACCAGCCTGGCCAGCGCCAGGAGCACGGGGACGGGCGTGGAGGGCAGCGGCCACGGCCAGGGCATCGAGGAGGCCGGCAAAGGTGGGGCAATCCCAAAACTATTTTTATTTGGCTAAAACGACACTGCCAGAAAAATAAGTGTGAATAGTACAACAAAAGTACAACAAAAACTGTACAATGGAAGTACAACTGGGATTGTATAAAATACTACGAGAATTGTACAAACCACGCCTGGACTGCACAGCACTCGTCATCGTACTTTGTACAACAATTGTTGTACTTTGAAAGTACAATAAACTGATAAAAAATTTGCCAGAAATTTGTGTACTTTTGTCGTGGTTTTTTCTTGCAGTGGAACGAAAGTAGCTTGTACACACGCTAACTGTTACTGTACAAATTTTGTACGAGACGTTACAGGTGTTGGTGCACACGAACTTTCTGAACAAATTTGTACGTGATTTTGTACAAAAATGGAGAAATATGTGCAGTTTTTCGTACAAATATTGTGCAAAAAGTTCATCCGCACCAAAAAACTGTCATGTCTCGTACAAAATTGTACGTAACATTAGGTGTGCATACGTACACTGAGAATCCAAACGCTATGAGTATAGCGTCAATTGGTGCAATGCAAACGCATTGCACATGAAGTGCAATGCCTCCCCATTCCCATGCATTGGCAGGGCAATTTCGGGAAGCATTGCACACGTAAGGTGCAATATGGCTATCGCATTGCACGTATGGTGCGATATTTCAGCTGCATTGTACCATACGTGCTATACTCATAGCGTTTGGAATTTCAGTGTACGCCCACGGTGAGCGATTTTTCGCCGCTCTTGCAGTGTCTATGATTCATCCCCGCGCTGACCCTACCGTCACTGTCTGCCTCAGGCGCCCTGACCACCACGCAGCTGCGTCGCGCACCCAGCCTGCAGCACCCCTTGCTGCACCAAGACCAGGAGCAGCTTGTCCACGACGGCGCGCGGTGGCGGCGTGGCGAGCACGCCGAGCTTGCCGCCACGCCCGTGGACGTGGCCATGGAAGAGGCGGCGTCGGGCAAGCGGTCCCGGGCGGAGAACGCCGCCGAGGACACGCTGTCCCTGCTGGAGCACCACGTCCACGACGGCCACGACTTCGAGGACCAGCACCACGAACAGAGCGGCGACCATCACCAGCCCTACAGTGGTGGCGGTAAGCCTCTTTTCCAGCCCCGCTCGCATAACGGGCAGGTTAATTTAGAAAAGCAGGATAATGACCCCTTTGGATTTCGATGATGTTTACGTGGTTAGTCGTCCTATTTTATGGCGGGAATTCAAGGACAAAATTTGAGAGCTCAAAAAAGTTTCTTCTTGGAGATATAGGGGAATGTTGAGCTTTTTTGGATATTTTATACTTGCAAATTTTTATTATTTCCTATAGCACAGACACTTTCTGTCCGATTGGGTACAGATTCGGGTTCTTGCTTCGAAATTGAACGGGCAATAAGAATCAGATTCGACCAAAAATAATTATTTCATGGAAAAGAAGTTTACTTATTCTTTAAAAAAAAATTACCAATAAAATCCGAAATTTGGAGATTTTTTTGGCTTTAGTTTTTTGATTTTTTTAAACCTGTCAAGTATGACTCAGAAAGGTCCTCGGAATCCAAAAATCATTCAACTACAGACTTTTCCGACAATCCGTTTCACAGATATTTCACTTCAAAGTCATCAACCGGTTTTTTTCGGTCTGAAAGTTGTGAGATATTGCCGGGCTTTTCGCATTGTGCGACGAGTTCCACACTGTAAATGTCTTACGGTGGAAGGCTGCACCAACATATTATGGTGGAGGTTTTCTCCATAATACCAACGAAATTCGTCAAAATATCTATAAGGTACAGTGAATTCTCAATGGTACGTTATGAAGTCAGCTGCACCACCATAACATGGAACATTTTCTCTATAATATGGAGAATCTTCACAGTGCAACATTTCGAGGGGTCCTATTCAAAAGATCTTATCTGGGCGTTCCCCCCAAGACAATCTTATCTTAAACGCAGGTAAATTTCACATAGTTTGATCATTTGGTACAGCTACATATCAATATAATTTTTGAGTTTGTTCAAGTAAATCTAAAGATGGAAGATCAAAGAAACCAAAAGTGACTGTAGAAATATGTTTCGCTTACCGTCGTATTTGTTCTGATTAATCAAAATGAGTGAAATTTGCCGGCGTTTAAGATAAGATTGTCTTGGGGGGAACGCCCAGATAAGATCCTTTGAATAGGACCCCTCGATTTAGAGTGCAGTGATGCTGGCGTCGCTGGTCAGTGGTCCCTAGCCTGCGAGGTAGGCGCTAAAAGGGCAAGTGAGACGTCTTAACTTGTCGCGCTTGTCGCAGTGGTGCTGGAGCCGTTGCCGCAGTCCGCGGGCCCGACCGCCAGCGCCGACCCAGTGGAGCCCTTCGAGGCGCTGCAGGCCGACGCCCTCCAGGCCGAGCCCTTCCAGCTCCAGCCCTTCCAGACGCCCAGCCCGCGCCGGCAGCACAACCTGCTCTCTCAGGAAGCGTACCAGCCGCCCCCGGCCCCGCCCCCGGCCCCCTCGCAGCAGATGCAGCACGATGACGACCAGCAGCAGGCCGCCGTGGCCGCGCCCTGGCTGGCCGAGCCGCAGTACCTGCACCCCACCATCAACACCCTCAGCTTCAACCCGTCCAGCCACATGGGCAGCCACACCAGGTACGCGCAGTCAATGTTTTTGTATCATTTTGTACGTCGTCACGCACACAACTTTGAGCGTGCGAAATATTTCGGACAGGTTCGTACGTAAAATCTCACACATTTGTGTGAAATTTCGTGATGTTTCGTAAGAAAGCAAGCATAGGGTAAACTATACAGTTATCGGCAGGGGTACAGTTATCGTCATCTCGGCGAATAATTGGGTCCTGCTTTGCAAGTACGCGTCCGTTAGTGATGCGGCCAATGCAGGTCGCTAGAGACACCTTTTTAGCATGCAGGACCGAGACAGCATCGCGTTCGATTGAGCATGTCAGCCAACAGAGCCATGTTTCTAGTTAAGTGCAGAATGAGGCCGCTTTGGCCGCCCGTTCTTATCTTTTATGCTAGTATCAGGGGTTCAATCTTTACTTAAATTCGTGAAAGTAGGCCGGAAAAAAATATTCTCCTTGCCAGGTTCTTTCTCCCTACCTATTGAAGAGGGCATACTGTGCTTGGCGCACAGAAATTCCCCTTGCTTGTCCTCAATCGGGAGGTGCCGATAACTGTATCCAAGAAATCATCCGAAAGACAGTTATCGTCAGGGTGGCCTCAAACATCACTGCTGTTTTGGGCATCGTTGGGGAGTTAATATTCTGGTGCATTAAGACCATAGGAGGACCCCTACCAAATTTGAACGAAATCGGATCACTTTTTCCCAGTGATCTACGTGATTTACGTGATGTCCTCTTCGGTGCTTTGAAAGGTTGTTATTTCGCAACTCATGGTGCTTGTTGTCAGTGAGTCTAAAATGAAGGGCCCAAGAGGCATAACACAAGAGAGAGGGGGTTCGTGACATGTCGAGGAATGATAAAGAGTGTCTGTGACGACTGTTAGAAATTTTCGTCACTTTCGGTCATGTTTTGCCTTTTTAACAAGGGGTGCCGATAACTGTCATATTGGGTGCCGATAACTGTATTTTGGCTGCCGATAACTGTGTTTTCGGTAACCATTTTCTCAAGTCAAATAAGAGCGACACAAAAAGTTTTTCGTGAAATCTTTGTCAGCCACTTCGTTGACTAGATCCTTCTGTGGTGTCTGGAACAAGTCGCGAGGGCCTAAATGTCATAACTTACCCTAGAGGCCCTCGAAAAGAAAGCGATGTTCTTAAACTGACGGTAACTGTATACTTTACCCTACTCAATATTATTTCAGATCGCAATGGAGAAATTGCATAGTATTCCTGGGAAACATATTGCCAAAGAAACCATTTGGAAATGTTTGAAGAATCTTCTTAAATTTTACGAAAAAATCTGCGACAGTGATCGTGGATTTACCTGCACTCTTAAAACCTTACGAACTATTTTGCACTCTCATTCCAGGTACGTGACATCACGTTGAAACGAACGTGACAAAGTGTCACGTTCGTTTGAGCATTTTGTCACGTTCGTTTGAATGTGAACGAGCTGATTTTCGGCCAATTCACACCCAAACGAATGTGACACAATGCTCAAACGAACGTGACAGTCTGTCACGTTCGTTTCAACGTGATGTTACGTTCCTGGAATGAGAGTGTGAGCATGTCGTACAAACTAATGTAGTTAGGTATACGAAAAAATAGTTCGTTACGGACTTAAAGGTACGAACTATCTTCCTTGTAGGCCCAAAATACTTTGTTATATGAAGCTGCTTTACTTCGTAAGGCTTAAACACTTTGTAAGGTTTTCAGAGTGTTCGTAAATTACTAAGAACATTGTGGTCAAATCTGTCAAATCCGCCCGCAGGTCCGAACCCATGAAGCGGTCCCCTTTGCCGGGCGGGGCCCCCGCCGTCGTGGCGCCGGCCCGCCACGCCAGCCGCCACGCTGCTCCGGGGGCGGCCACGGGGGCGGCTCCGGGGGCGGGCCCTCCCTTGGGGGCCGGGCCCCCCTTGGGCCCCGTGGTGGGCGCGCCCCGGCAGCTCCTCATGGCGCGCCGGCTGGAGCGGTCCACCCTGGCCGAGCCGGACCTGGGCCTCCACGGCGTCCACGCCGCCAACCACGGCCGCTGGAAGCCGCCCGGAGCCGGCAACGGCGGCAACGGCAACCGGCCAGAGGACGACTTCTGCCTGCCCAACGTGCCCGGAGGTGAGCCTGCCGCACCACAGAACAAAGGCTTGGAAACTACGGAGGGGCGAGAAATGTTATAACCCTTCAAGGCAAAATTTTAATGCCCTTCCAAAAAAGGCATGGCACCCTCGCTTGGAGAGCACACTCAGATAACCTTACAAACTATTTTAGGCCTTACAAAGAAAAGCAGCTTGTTATAACTAAGTATTTTGAGCATGCATAAGCTCACAAAGAAAACACTTCGTAATTTACTAACTAAAGTAAATCAGTTTGTACTTTGTATGCACAAAATACTTGGTAAGACTTTAGGCGTGCACCTGTGTGCATTTGCATACATCAAGGAGCAGTGTGCTTGGATGCGCACGGTGCCTAAACGTGTGCCTGCCCTCCACGCTGTCCCAGCAGACTGGAACAACACGCTTAGGAACTTGTTGAAGTCTGGAAGCTCCAGGTGGAGTGTGCCGTGCACACGGTTCAGTTGGTGGAGCGCGTGCCGGCGGCTATGGATTATTGGCGTCCTCTGCGATGAAAGTGGTGACATTTGCGTTGTGCTGCAGCTTCGGGGAGCCCCAGCAAGGGCAGGAGGAAGTCCAACGTCGGGGCGCTGGCGGGGCAGCACGTCGTGGGACAGCATGTCGTTGGGCAGCACGCCGTGGGGCAGCACGTCACCAATGCGGCCGGCGGCGGCCTGCGAGCGGCCCTCAGGGAAGACCACTCCTTGTCGCCGGTGAGTGGCGGTGTGGACAGTAAAAACTCTACGAAGAATCGCTTCGTAATACGAAGAAAATGAAGGCACTGTAAAATCTACGAAGAAATGCTTCGCATTAGGAAGCAAAATCACTGGTAAAACTAAAGAGTAGCCCTCTGTTTTCGAGCGTAATCATGTTACGCTTGAAATCATCGTAACAGGCTGATCCGCCAAGATTCCCCCTATATAAATGCATGGGGGAATTTCCAGAGTACGCTTCATTTCCAGCGTAACGTCTTCAAGCGTAACTTTATGCTTGACTCAAGCATAGAGTTGCGCTTTAGTTTTAGCAGTGGTCCTTCGTAATACGAAGCATTTCTTCATGATACGAAGTAATTCTACAATTCCTTCAGTTCCTTCGTATGAAGCATGCTCCGTAGGCTTTAAAGAGTGTGCGGTCGCAGACTGGATCCAGCACGGCGATGCCTCGCACTGACTCTATCGCAACTTCAAAGAGCGCCCTTGGAGTGCGAGAGAGACAGAGCTCTGACAGCGCGATTGTATTGAGGGCTTTCCTACGGTGGACGATCAATTGTGGTCTAGCCTCTCAAGTCAAATAGGGAGGGGGTTAAGTACCGCTTTTTGCCTACTTGCGGGGGCAGAGTGGTGTTTTCTCCTAAGAGGAAATCACTCAATTTCGGTGTAGAAACCAAGTGAATTTCAGTTCCATTTCGATGAATTTAGGACAAAAACCACTGAATTATGAGAAGAATTTCGATGCAGTTTAATAAATTTCAGAGCATTCCCATTTTTTGGTGAATTTTGGTGTACAAATTTGGCTGGAGTTAACTCTGGCCAGAAATGACTGTATTTCTGTATTTCCACTTGTTGTTGCCTACCTTCAAGGCTAATGCTATTGATGGCTGGACCACAGATGATCGCAGCCTTTCAGGCCAGGCTATCTATCCAGTTGGCGGGGGTGGGGTTGCCATTACCCCCATTGCTTTTACCTGGATCCGCGCCTGCGAGACGACGACTTGGGGGGGGGGGGGGGGGGGAATTTCTTGGGAGGGTGACGCGATAGCAGGGTCGGTGTCGGTAGCGTCACCACACCGCCTTCATCAAGTGTTCTCTGTCTTTGTCGCCCATCTGGCTGCGGCTTGCAGGGCGTCCTGTACTTGCATCCCGCCAAGATCAAATACTGGACGCCGGCGAAGCAGATGAAATGACCGATCCCCTCGCCAGTGCAGACAGAGCAGACTGCCAGACAGTGCAGGGGGTCGTTGGCTGTGACGCGCGCGTCGCGATGCGCAGTACCTGAGGCATGTAGCGCGCGGGCACGCGTGCCCGGCACCGCAGACTGTAGCCGCCACTCCTTTCATGTGTTGTACACTATGATCTGAAGTGTGTACTACTCAGTTCACTCCACATTTTGCAGTCGACCTGAAACCGGGCACCTTTGTCGCCTGCTCCACTTTCAGAGCGCCCAGTGTCTGGGCACCTTCTTCGCCTAGTCTCAGGGCCCACAAATCATCCCCCAACTGGCCATCCCCCAATGGCGCCCAGTTTCAGGGCATGGCAAATTTGGAGTGTAGGCATCTATGTATGTACTTTGGCAAAACTAGTGCTTGAGACAAGCATAAAGTTTCTCTTGCTTGAAGATGTTACGCTTGAAATGAAGAATAGAGAAGAAACTTCTCCATGTATTTACCTAGGGAGAAACTGAGTGGATGAACCTTGATTTCAATCGTAAACTGATAACACTTCTAAGCAGATGGTGATTCGTTTTGCCAGTACACAGGTGCGTACTTGCCTAGTATTGCATCTGCAGGTGTGTACTAGATGCGTACTGAGTACACACATCAGTTTGCAGAGTACGCGAAATACAAGTAAATGGGACACAGCAAGTAGTGTGCAGCTGCGTATGTTACTTTACTGAACACTGAGAATGAAAGAGTCGTGAGCAACACCACATTTTGGTCAAGGTGGACCTTATCACCTAACTTTGGGTGCGGTTTATTTTAAAGTTTCCTTACCCAACTTTGAGTAGTTATTTTGGCGAGAAAACCTTGATTTCCCAAATTTGAGCTGTAAAATGATTCTCACACAAATTTGGGAGATAGGTTACACCTCACCCAAAGTTTAAGTTCTGGTTACGACTCTGCCCTTCTCAGTGAATTTGGATGCACTGCGTGGAAGAACAAGCAGTTACATTACGTTTCTTTTATTGGCGTTGCCTCTTATATCTCAGAGAAAACCAGAACAGAAGAAGAGGATTCCAAAGAATCCTATTCTCTCATCCCTCAAGTAAATGCCTAGTATGCCTTTTCATTGGTAGCCTCCTTGATGCTTCTTTTCCATTTTACTTGAGTAGGTGGGAGGTACACGATCTCAATAACAAATTTTTAAAATATGCACAGCTAGAAAACACAAATTATAATTATAGAATTTGTATCTGATACCTTTCTGGGAGTTCATTTAATTTTCTCAAGCCTTAAAACAGTTTAAGCAGATACAAAGTAAAATACAGTTCGTAATTATTTGTGTTCATTATATTGTTTGCAATCATGTTTCAGAGAGGATCACATTCCCGTTCACCGTCGGTGACATCCAAGACCACTTCGAATAATTTGCCCTTCGTCTAAATGATCCTATTCAAGCACGAAGACTTAAAGTCTACAAGAGGACAGTGTGATTTGTACAGACTGGTGTTTATATAACTGTAAGAGTAGGTTTTTTAAATGGCAAAGTTGTTAAAGTGAAGTTTTGAAAATAAATTATATATAAATCAGACAGCAATATTTTTTCTCCCATGATTTTTTAGCAGATGATACCTTCACACTTGAAACATACTTAAAACTATTATACACAAATGAAGGTGTCCGCGTGCTTTTACTCTCGAGTCCAGAAACCAAGCGCGTATCCTAACAATATAATAGGGGCTGGCGGCCGGGGCGGGCTGGTGCGTGTGGCTGGCTGGCTGGCTGGCTGGCAATGAGGCGCAGCCTGCGCGGAATTCGACAATCCCTCCTCGGTACAGCGCCAGCGGCACCGGGCGTAAACAATGGCACCCCTCCTTGCATTGACAATCCCTCCCCGCCTGCCACGGCGCGGAGTATATTGCGCAACAATGCCTTCCGTTTCGGCCCGGCTCACTCGGGTCTATGTATTTTGTTTCATACACAATTTTAAATACTATCTTTGAAATGAGCCCGCATTCTATCCCGTATAAGAAAACCATAATCGAGTATCATCTGCTTTCATTAACGTTCGTTGAATGAGATTTTTTTTTCTCCTGGAAGCACTTTGATCATTTGGCAAGACGAACCCTAACCGAAAACAAAAACGTGCGATTACCTTGGTGAACCCATGATCACCGGGCAACCATGACCATCCGCCTCGCTCTCGGAAACCATGAGAATTGTTAGAAAAACACTGTAAGGGTCTAAATTCTCCTCGAAACAGCGTTAGAAGTCAGTGGGTGGGGTGCTCCAGCAAGACATACTCCAATTCGGTCCGTTAAAACTTCTTGGCCGCAAACGGTTTTATCGAGAAAAATGGTCGATCCCCTTCAGATCTGTCAGAAATTTATATGTAACGTTGCTGCGTCCGAGGCTGCGTCTAAGAAACAGATGCCCGGTGCCCGATGGTCTTCGACGCATTCTGCCCACATAAAAGCGAAATGTTCCGAAACCTGGTCGAAATCGGTCCGAATCAGTCCGAACACCCTCGGACTGTTCCATAGAGCGCCCGAGACCAGGTCGGACTGTCCGCCACGAGCCCGCGTCGGGACTGGGACTGCCCGATGGATGCCCGATCAGATGATGCTTCCATCGGACTGCCCCGTACGGAGCCCGTAGATCCTAGTCCCGAAAGCGACTTGTCCGGCAGACCGATCGGCAGCGAGCCGAGTGTGGTGGACTGTCCCTGCCGGTGCAGGCGCGGAAAAGCCTGCTGGCCCGGGCCGGTCGGAGGCGCTCTCTGATTGGTTCGGCCAGGAGGGGAGCCTTAATCCTTCGGCAACTCGGAAAGTTTTGGCCGCCTCGGCACGCAAAACGTCAGTCTCCAGCTGCCCTCCAAGGTGCACGCATCGCGTTTGCCTGCGTCAGAGTCCACTCGCTCGGCGCGCTGAAGCCATGTCGCCTCCGCGCGCTGCAGCCTTGCGCAGCCTTGTGCTGGGAACGAGCCAGTTGGACGGAAAGAAGTGTGTTTTAGTTTGAAAATTTTTTTGGCTGATGACCGTTTAGGACGCTAGTGACTCTACGCTTGCTGTTCTGTGTGCATCTCCCAACACTAAAGGGACGGGCGGTGCGAGGGCGAGAGGTGTATCATTTAATTCGCCTTTCCCCGTGCACTCTCGTCCCCAAAGTGCTTTCCATCGGAAATGATTTTTATCCTACATATCAACTACTTGATTACTATCGTAAGTTCAAATCCGGTGCCAAGTTTGCCTGCCACAAAAGTGGCACGCCGTTTTGAATGCTAAACATTGGCAAGCCCTGACCTGAAATCTTCCAGTTTGCCCAAACTTAGCGCTTCGGCCGCCAGCAATGCCCAAATTTAGCGAACTCGGAAGTATTTCAGGTCCAGGCTTGCCAATTTTCAACATTCAAAACGGCTTGCCAAGTGCACCGGCTTTGCAGTCTTGCCTGCACTGCACTTGCAGAGGGAGGGGAGGGGATTCCGAAGGGAGGAGAGGGGTTTCGGGAGGGAGGGGAAGGGTGGGGGGCGGCGGGGAGCAGCCCACCCTGCTCGCCGGCCTTGCTTCGGGTTAGTCCGAAAAGAGTCCGAATCTAGTCGTCGGACAACACCCGAAACCTTGCCGGATTTCTAACATTCTGGATGTCAGCCGGACCAGTCCGGTGGAACCGTTTTCGGACATAGCCCCCGCTCGGGCAGTTTTTGGAGCCTTTCTTTTTCATATGGGTGTTTAGCGTTAAAATGACATTGTCCCGTCTCACATGTCCTGAGGCTTGCCTGAGGAGACTTTGAACTTCCTAACTGCACTCACCCTCCACCCTGCCCCTTTTCTCGCCCCCCCCCCCCTTTTCTCTCTTTCTCTCTGTCACACACAAACACACACCACTGGTTGAGCGTTATTAAAGTCGCTTCGTGTACATCACTCGGCCGCGTTGGCAGGGTCGCTGTCCAGGACGGCGGCAGAGTCCTCTCCCTTGGGCACGGTCCTGCACGGCCCCGGCTAGAGTCGACCAGAGCCCTGGCCCCCGAGGTGAGCTCTCTGGGGCCCGTGGGCCACCGGGCGGCCGGGGCGGGGCCCCCGGTGTGGCGGCGCGGGCGGCGCTGGCTGTGCGTCTCGGGGTCACTGGCGTCGCGGTGGCGTCCCCCACCTTGGCAGGGGCACCAAACAATCCTGCGACCAGTCCTGGTGACGAGTGCACCGCCATTTAAGATACGATCATACTCGAGTTGTGCGAAAGTGCATCACGCAGCATATTTTGAGGATTATGTGCAATGAAGCTCTTTCCATTCTGGTCCTACGCAGTGCCAGGGTCCGGAAAAATTCATCTCTTCGTTCCACGTCGACTTAAATGAAATTCAAACATATAGCGGTTACGCGAACGCATGCACATCCTTGTCTGCGTCTCAGAAGCTGAACGAAATGGATTGTGCCTCGAAATAGGTCAGAAAAAATAACATTTCTGGGAAGGTTTGTCGAAGTACGAAATTATAAACAAAGGGCGTTGTCCCACCCCAAAGCCACCGCACCACCACCCCTTTGCCCCCTTCCCAGACGCGCGGCGCCTCTGCGGCTCCTCCCCGCGCCCCGCACCCTGTCTCGCACGACTCGGCCCGCGTGCTCGGCTCAAAACGCCACGCCCAGCCGCTTCAGTCAGCACGGTGTACTTGTTGAGCGCCGCGGGCCGGACTTCCCGGTCGTCGGGGTCTTGCTGTTGTGAGTCGAAAATGCCAGCGAGTGACGCTGCCGCTTCAACCAGGTGAGATAGGGATCGATTTGCAGAACATTGCGGTGGTGACTAGGTGGTGCTGATCGTGATGAAGGTGCTGATCATGATGGTGGTGGTGATCGTGATAGTGGTGCTGACAGTGGTGGTGGCGATCGAGATATTGATCGTGATGGTGATCCTAATGGTGGTGGTGATCGTGGTGATCGCGATTGGTGGTGATCGCGATTGGTGGTGATCGCGATTGGTGGTGATCGAGATAGTGATGGTGATCGTGGTGGTGGTGGTGGTGGTGATTATGGTGATCATGGTGGTGGTGGTGGCGGTGATGGTCACGGTGCGCTTGGTTGCAGCGGTGTGGTGGACACGCCGGCCAAGCCAAAGGCGCTGGGCCTCCGCGATGTCTGGCGGGAGTTTTGCCGCTCCACCACCATGCACGGCTTGCGCTACCTGGTCGACGAGGGCAGGACCACGTTCGACAAGTGAGTACAGTAGGGATAAGTTTAGTGAGAAAAGAATAATGGGTAAGAAAAGTGCAGGGTAAGAGGAGGACGCCCTTGGAGCTGCACTGAAAACTTAAGTGTGTACTCAGTACACACATAGACTTTCAGCGTGATATCTGCTTGACTTTGAGCTATTCCTTGACCAATTATTTCAAATAGAACATCTGAGTGTGGTATCTCTGGTAAATGGATGTGGAGGCCCGTGTAGACCTGGGCAATTTATCGATTAATCGAAAATAATCGTGATTTTTTTGTTTGTGTTTTTACCGTGCAACAGGCCACTCAGGGTGGTACACTTTTCTTACCCTGTACTTTTCGTCCCTGACTTACCTCTCCACTCGTCCCCACTGCCTCCACGGCGTCCCGCAGGGCCTTCTGGGGCGTGTCGCTGCTGATCACGCTCGTGTGCTGCACGGCCCTGCTGGTGCACATGTACGAGCGGTGGCTCATCTCGCCGGCCATGGCCACCAACGAGCTCAAGATGCAGGCCGTGTGGGAGGTCCCCTTCCCGGCCGTCACCATCTGCCCGGACACCAAGTTCAAGAACTCCGTGTTCAACCTGAGCGAAGCCAAGCGGCGACTCTCGCACGACCCCGACGACCGGGACAGGTAAGGCTTCCTTTACTGCACACCCCCTCCAAATGTTTATGAGCTCTTATGTAGTCCAACTACTGCCATATTTGTGATGCGCAAGTTATGTACGGTTTTATACGTAAGTTAGGGACAATATATTATGTATTCATGAAACTGTACCTAATTTAATGTACACAAATTTGTACATAACTTACGGATGCACAAACATGGCTAGCGTGCACTCACTCCATGGTAAAAGGCTCCTCTTAAGATCCAAAGTGTTTGAGTTACTTTTAAAATTTGGCTGAGTTGAAATCACTTTACAAACATAAATTTGTGTCGAAAAGACAAACAAAGAATGCCAACCCAATTCATAAGGTTAGAATGGAAAAATAAAGATCTTCGAGTTATTGAACTTCGAAATTTGTAAAGTAGCCAAGATTACCTACTAGTATGTACTTTTCAGGTTCAATTGTGTTTTTATTTCATATTCATTTGTCTATGTTATTATTCCATGTCTTGACATTTTTTTGTTCGTCTTGTCGAGGCAAATCCGTTTCAGTTACGTGACCCGACGTGCTCAGTTTGGACAGGTTTGACAATTTAATGGAACTCCTTGGAGATAATAGAAACAGGATAGCCTATTCCCTTGGATTTGACGGCGGTCCCTTCACCGTATCCTAAGACACGGTGAAGGTGTTAATTAACTTATAAGTTATATAAACAGATGTTATAAGTTATAAGTTGTTTATAAACAACTTGCCAACCTGTCCAGTCTGCAGCGGAACGTCGACACGGTGCTGCTGCACTGCGACGATGCCTCTGCCGGCCGCTGCGCCACCTTGACGGACGACGACACGGACTTCTTGACCTCGGTACGGATGTCAGACATTTGCCTTCGTAATGTGAGGCTTTTTAGTTTGCACCTGACCTCAGAAAGGAAATCCGTTCGGAATGTGAAAAAATGTAGTTCCTTTTGCGTGTTTGCACAAATTTCTTCGTACACTACTGCTAAAGCAGTGTCCGTTCCGTTGGGCATAAGGGCGTAAGTCACATGGGGAATCCATTGAAAAAAGGTTGTTCTGTCCGATGACTACTCAAGTTACCTGTAAGAAATTTGGAGTGAGCATATTTGGTTGAAGGCTTTGGACTTTCGACCGCGGCTATCGCATATTTAGCCTATCGAGCGCACTTATGACCACCCGAGGGGTGACCCACTGTAAAATTTTGTGCACATTGATTGTGTAAATGTTCAAGAATGTGTAAGATTTCTGGCGTTTTTGCCACGTATGTTGCCTACTTCTAGGCGTTTTTGTCACCTGAATGTGGAATGTGGTCAAATTTTGTACAACGAAAGTGCACTGTGCGAAAAAACCACAGTGAATCCCGTTAATTTTTTTGCCGGGATTTACTGTAGTTCAGAACACAGGATTTACCGTGCCTGGCTACAGTATCTACTGTACCTGGTACAGGATATTCCGTACTCCACCCCTGTGGTACAGTAAATCCCGTACAGAGTACAGTAGATCCTGTTAAAAAAGTACAGTAAATCCTGTACTCTGAACTACAGTAACAGCTGTACTAATCACTACAGGATTCACTGTGATTTTTTCCCACAGTGTGGGAAGCTGTTCTCCCCTCGTGATCACCACAATATGTCTTTTTTTCCCGTGGGGGCGTTGGCGGCGCGCAGAGAACAGTCATTACAGTGTGCCCGCAGATAGCGCCGCAGATCGGAGACACCGTCAGAGGCTTCCAGTGGCGGAAGTCGCGGTACACCAACCTCTTCGGCGCCAACGAGACCGGCTTCGAGCTGTGGACGCCGATCCTGACCGACGAGGGCCTCTGCTTCTCCTTCAACATCCTCAGCCCCGACGACCTGTTTACGGAGTCGGCGTGAGTGCCGCGGCGGTGAAATACAGGAATAATTTCTACACTCTAACTGTCCAGAATGAAATGGGAGCTAGGTAACAGCTCGTTCAACGCAAGCATATGCTTATATAATGCGAAGCAAAATGTCTCCATAATGCGAATCTTTTGAAGGTTTTCATTGTAAAATACAAAGAAAAACCTTCGTATTGCGAAGAAAAAGTACGTTCGTATTACGCTTGCTAGGGGTCCCATTCAAAAGATCTTACCGAAGCGCTCCCGTTCAAAGAATCTTATCTGAAACGCAAGTGAATTTCACTAAGTTTGACCAGTTGGGACGGATAAGAGGGTAAGCAGAACATATTTCAACACGCACTATTGGTTTCTTTGATCTTTCATCTTCAAGTTTGTGTAACTTAAATCACAAATTATTTTGATTTGTAGCTGTCTCAAATGATCAAACTTAGTGAAATTGCGTTGCAGATAAGATTCTTTGAACACGAGCGCCCAGATAAGATCTTTTCATTAGGCTCGTACTACTCATGAGTGCAAGTTGGCCCGTACTCAGTGTACTCTCAAATTTAAAAAGAGCAATGTTCACTAGTTTGTAGCACAATTTAGTGTTGTCTGGTCGCAAAATAAGCCTAAACGAGTTTTAAAATATGAAATTTATGAATATTGTAAGGTAGGTGTTGTCGTACCGATCGTCGCATCCGTGCAACAAGCACCTATCTCAACTTGGTATCGTCAACAACAGTCTATCTCTATGTGCTGCCATCAACGACAACCTATTTCCTATCCCTAGCGCATACAGATAGGTTGTTGTTGATGGCAGCACATAGAGATAGACTGTTGTTGACGATACCACGTTGAGAAAGGTGCTTGTTGCACGGATGCGACGCGATGTACACAGGGTGAAGCTTCCCTCCTCCGAGGAGTACGGCCGGCAGCCCCTCCGCTACTGGAACCTTTCGCGAGGCTACTCGGCGGACGCCCCGCTGGAGTCGACGTTCCCCGCGCGCGCCATGAAGGGCGCCATCGGCGGCCTGGGCGTGCTGCTGTTCGCGCCGGTCGGCGACATGGACTACACGTGCAGGGGGCCGATGCAGGGCTTCAAGGTGCATGCTGTCAACTGTTTACAGCTCCTGCCCTCAAAGCGATATCTTGGATTTGATGTTTGTGCCTGGTGGGCAGGCAGGCTGCGGTTGTGAATATTTCGGCTCAAAACCGTACGAACCACTTCAGGCTTTGTAAAAACAAATGTTATTACGAAGTATTTAGAGCAGCATTCATAAGCTAACAAAGATAAAAACAAAAATGTCTAATGTACGAATTTACTCTAAAAATAAATGATCAGAACCTTTCTGGTTCATATCAAAAGATCTGACACCGTTTTCTGATAAAATATCTTGTCAGTTCGTTCACTGAGATTCCAAACGCTATGAGTATAGCACGTATGGTGCAATGCAGCTGAGATATCGCACCACGTGCAATGCCACAGCCATATTGCACCTTACGTGCAATGCATCCCGAGAAGGCCCTATGCTAATGCATGGGAACGAGGAGGCATTGCCTTTCATGTGCAATGCTTTTGCATTGCACCAATTGACGCTATACTCATAGCGTTTGGATTCTCAGTGTTTCACGGTTAAGAATCTTATATGAAACGCAAGGAAATTTCCATACCTGGCGGACGGATAAGAGAGTAAGCGGAATATATTTCTACAAGGCTTCATTTATCTTTTCCTCTTTGATTTGGTGCGGATTACGTCATGATCCCTTTTTGTGTTTAGCTGTTCCAAATGATGAAACTTAGAGAAATTAGCTTGCATTTATGATGCGATTCCTTGCCCGGACACGATTAGATTAGACCAAATTTTCTCGAAGACCTTTTGAAAACGGAGGACCTCTCGATGTGCTCAAACTACGCGTATTTTAAGGTGAGGTGTGGGGTGAAAATGCAAACTTCTATACCACTTGGCTGTGGTATAACAGAGACCTTTAGGACATGCCGTCAGTAAAAGAAGAATATTTTACATTAAAATAACATTTTAATCAATTTTGGTGCAAATTTTCACCCACACCTCACCTTAAGCGTGCACTGGTGTGAGCAACTTTTTGACCGCTCATCAACCATGCCCAACGATGACGTGACGGACCCGCAGATCGCCGTCCACAGCCCCGCCGAAGTGCCGCAGATGCAGCAGCGCACGCGCTCCATGCTGGGCGAGGAGCTCCTCATCAACGTCAAGCCCTCCACCATCTCCACGTCGGAGGAGCTCCGCTACTACAAGCCGCAGGACAGGCGGTGCTTCTTCCCGGAGGAGCGGCAGCTCGAGTACTTCAAAGTGAGCGCTCTCGCTTGTTTCCGCGTCTGACGTTCGACACGCCGGTCTTAAGGAAGTTTGGCTGCATGCGAAGGATTTCTTTCGTGCACACTACAAACCTGTCAACTAAATGCACACTTCACTCTCATTCTAGGAACGTGACATCACGTTGAAACGAACGTGACAAACTGTCACGTTCGTTTGAGCATTGTGTCACATTCGTTTGGGTGTGAATTGGCCGAAAATCAGCTCGTTCACATTCAAACGAACGTGACACAATGCTCAAACGAACGTGACACTTTGTCACGTTCGTTTCAACGTGATGTCACGTTCCTGGAATGAGAGTGTTACAAGAGTCAAGAGCACACCTTCACGTACTCACATACAAATGTACACTTAACCAAGTACACTACACACTTAAGGTGATCCCACAACGGGTCGGTCGGTCGCAGACTGTCGGTCGGACAGTCGATCTACCGTCAATGCGAGCCAGTATAGATCAAGCCCGCAAGGAGGCCTGGGTTCGACTCCCCATAGTGAGATTACGTTTTTCTCAGTGAACATCTCAAGCCTAGAGCAGAGGATTCCAGTACCGTCAGTCTAAGTATGGGCACGTAACGTCTGTATGTGTCAGTGGCTCAGGGCGTAAAGGCAGCGGCTGCCTCGGATGAGGACCTGGGATCGCGTCCCACGGACGAAAATATTTTCCTCGGTTGACCGCTTAAAAGCAGTCTAAGATTGGGCAGACCATGCGTTGGCTGTCAGGTGGGTCAGTGAGCAGAGGTGTCTGCCGCGCTGAAAGAGGCTAGGGTTCGAATCTCAAGTAAAACACCCTTTTCCTCGGCCACATTGTTGATACATCTTGAGCCCGGTACCATCACTGTAAGATTGATCGCAAAAAAAAAAAAAAAAAAAAAAGTTGGCCGAGATGGTAGAGGATTCGGCTGGCGAGAGAAAGTCCTGGGTTCGACTCCCAGGTGGGCGAATCTTTTCCTCTGTTTACTTCTCAAACCCGGAACCATCACTCTAAGATTGATCATGTCGACTCGCAGTGGCTGAGTGGCCGAGAGAGTAGTGGAGTCGGCCGGCGGGCAAAAGTCCTGGGTTCGACTCCCAGGTGAGTGAATCTTTTCCTCTGTTTACTTCTCAAACCCGGTACCATCACTCTAAGATCGATCGAGTCGAGTCGTAGTGGCAGGGTGGCCGAGAGGGTAGAGGAGTCGGCCGGCGGGAGAAAGTCCTGGATTCGACTCCCAGGTGGGCGAATCTTTTCCTCTGTTTACTTCTCAAACCCGGAACCATCACTCTAAGATTGATCATGTCGACTCGCAGTGGCTGGGTGGCCGAGAGAGTAGTGGAGTCGGCCGGCGGGCAAAAGTCCTGGGTTCGACTCCCAGGTGAGCGAATCTTTTCCTCGGTTTACTTCTCAAACCCGGTACCGTCACTCTAAGATAGGACGTGTCAGGTAGGTGTGTTGTCGTAGCTCAGGTGGCAGAGCGATGGGCCGTGGAGGCTGGTTGGAGGCCATGCGACACGATTCCCGTTGGACCTGGTTCGCCACCAGCCAGGTCAGGTTGCCAACCCTTTATGATTGCCCTACTCCACTCTCCTTCGGGGAGGGGGGGTAGGGGGGGAGGGGCCGACGGCGGGAACTCTTTTGCATCTCGGGGAGCCGCGCCTTCCAAGTTAGGCCACCAAGCTGGCTCTTGTACACACATAGGGCGGGTAGCTGCGCAGCCACGTAGAGACGGGCCACTGGACGCATACAAGAGCCAGCTTGGTGGCCTACCTTGGGGGCGTGGCTCTCTGAAGTTGCAAAAGAGTTCCCGCCGTCTGCAGGCACACTCGATCAATCCAGACCGGCTTTGAGAAGTAAACAGAGTAAAAGATTCGCTCATCTGGGAGTCGAACCTAGGACGTCCTCCCGCCGGCCGGCTCCTCTACCCTCTCGGCCACCAAGCCACTGCAAGTCGACTCGATCAATCTTAAAGTGATGCAACCGGGTTTGGGAAGTAAACATAGGAAAAGAATCACTCACCTGGGAGTCGAACCCAGAACTTCCTCCCGCCGGCCGACTCCTCTACTCTCTCGGCCACCCAGACACTGCATGACAGCTCGATCGATCTTAGAGTGATGGTACCGGGTTTGAGAAGTAAACAGAAGAAAAGATTCGTTCACCTGGGAGTCGAACCCAGGACTTCCTCCCACCGGCCGACTCCTCTACTCTCTCGGCCACCCAGCCACTGCGAGTAGACTCGATTAATCTTAGAGTGGTGGTACCTGGTTTGAGAAGTAAACAGAAGAAAAGATTCATTCACCTGGGAGTCGAACCCAGGACTTCCTCCCGCCGGCCGACTCCTCTACCCTCTCGGCCACCCTGCCACTACGACTCGACTCGATCGATCTTAGAGTGATGGTACCGGGTTTGAGAAGTAAACAGAGGAAAAGATTCGCTCACCTGGGAGTCGAACCCAGGACTTCCTCCCGCCGGCCGACTCCTCTACTCTCTCGGCCACCCAGCCACTGCGAGTAGACTCGATTAATCTTAGAGTGATGGTACATACACACAGTGCCGCGCCACCAAGGTAGGCCACCTATTTGACACGCAGGGGTGGGTGGGGCCGACGGCAGGAACTCTTTTGTACCTCTATAGGGAGAGCCAGGATTGTCGTCGGGCCCGCGCCGTCAAGGTAGGCCACCCATCTGACACGCTGCTGCAAAAGCCCTGCGGCGAAAAAGAGAAGCAATACCCAGCCGGGATTTGAACCCGCGTACTTCTAACAACAGCCGACACCTCAGCCCACTGAGCCAGCAAGGCACCGATTGACTGATGTCCGTCCAAACTTAGAGTGATTGTACCGCATTCAAGCAGTCCACTGAGGAAAATGTTCCTGGACCTGGGATTCGAATCCGAGTGCTCTCTCGGGGCGACCACTTCCTCTGCGCTCTCGGCCACCGAGGCATTGGTAGGATGTTTGCCGATGTTGATACTGGTGGTACGGGATTCAAAGTTTAAGGTAGTAGGAGCGATGCTTGCTAGTCAAGCGAGAGTCGAATTTTTAAAAACGTAGTAGTGGCCTCCAAAAAAATTGCTTTGCTTTGTAAAACAGTTCTAACTTCCGAAAAAGAATATTGGGAGCCATTACATTGCGATATTCGGGCGCAGCGAATTTATAAAGTGACGTTAGTTGTGCACTTGACTTCGGTCTCGTCTGCTAAATCACATATTTTGTAGTTTTGCGCAGAAAATCGGACGGGAAGGCGCGGTTTTCTTGGTTTAAGCTAATAGTGTGCCTAAAAACACAGGTTTTGTCGAACAAATCTATAACTTATCTTTACTAAAAGTATTGAAAACAAGTATTTATACTCCGCAACCGTGGGCAACATAACCTCAATCACATAAGACCACATGCTAATTTCAATTACTCCAAACTCGTGATTTTCGCCGGTGACGTATTATTTTCTCTGCGGATCTGGACTCAGGGGATTTAAATGCATATGCTGTATGATTTTCATGGTAAAATCTTAACTTTTGAGCAACGCTCCTACTACCTTAACCGAGGAAAACGTTTCCGCCCGGGATTTGAACCAGGTCCCTCTTTCGGGGCGGCCGCTAACTCTGCGGCCTAAGCCACCAAACCACAGTCACCTCTCGCCCAACCTCAGACCTGATTCTTTGGGTTCAAGAAGTGAACTGAGAGTTTGGGAACCCAACTCAGGAAAAGTTTGGAGCTCACGGGACTCGAACCCGCGCTCTCCTCATGGCAGCCGACTCCTTAGCCCACTCAGCTACCGACTCGCTTGATAAGGGTTGCCACGAAACTAGTACTGGTGATACCAGATACAAGTTGCACACTGATGAAAAGATACAATTGTCTGGGATTCTAACCCAGATCCTGCTCATGGCGGACAACACTCCTTTATTCGTTTTTGTTTGTATCATGCACTCTTGCTCATGAGCCACCGCTACAGTCAACTGACGTGCCTGAACTCAGACTGATTGTACGAGAAGCGGTGACGAAGGAAAATCAAGGAAAATAAACAAGCGGCTGGGAGTCGTTCTTTTATTGCCCCTTCTATCCTTCTCTTGCCGACTAAGCCACCACCGGTTGTTGATGTCCCACCGACCGACCCACTGTGGGATCACCTTCACAAATGCACGCGTAGCATGGAGTTACGAGGTCAAGTCTGCAGTTGCAAAGTAACTGTGCACTTGCAAGTTAAAGTGTTATGTACTTTATTTACAGTTTGGTTTGTAGTAAAGTGCAAACCAATTACTTCAGGGTCTCATAGTAAAAATTGTTTGTAGTACGAAGAAAACTGCGCAAACTTAAAGGAGGAAACCTGTTTCTTGGAGCTGCACAGTGGAAAGGCGTAACCCTTTTCTTTGTAGCTCACGACACTTGTGTAAATTTTGTCAGAATACCAGAAACATGTCTCAAATCCCGATCAAAATTGGTGCACCTCTGAAAGCTGACATTCTGAAAACTTATTTTGATATTGATGGCCTGAGTTCTACAGAATCGTCAGAAAGAGTTTTCAGCTTTCAGAAGTGCGCGAATTTCGATCAGGTTTTCAGACAGGTTTCTGACATTCTGACAAAATTTTCAAGAGTGGGGTGAAAAAAGTCTTTCTTTGGACGTTACGTTTGCACCGATGTCTTCGAAATGAGTTCAAAGTGTAAGCAATGTGCCTCCCCGCTGCAGGTGTACACCAAGAGGAACTGCGAGCTGGAGTGCTCCTCCAACTTCTCCCGAGCGCACTGCGGCTGTGTGGCGTTCTTCATGCCCCGTAAGCCCCTTCAATCTATGCAGTCCCGGCGACTGGCATGCAGCCGAGCTGCCTACCCTCATTACCACACTACCAATTTCGTTCACTCTAAATGTTCTACAGTGAAGATTCTCCATATTATGGTGAAAATGGGTGAAAATGTTCCATATTATGATGGTGCAGCTGACCTCGTAACATACCATTGAGAATTCACTGTACCTTATAGATATTTTGACGAATTTTGTCGGTTTTATGGAAAAAACCCCTAGCATAATATGTTGGTGCAGCCTTTCACCGTAAGACATCTACAGTGTACTGAGAAATGCCGTGCACCCACAATATTGAGCTGATTCTCAGTACTTACGACACAAATCTGTCAAAATACTGATAAATTTGTTCGCAATACGAAGAAAGTGGTCATAAGTGCTGAGAACCTTTCACCGTCGGTTACTACCTTCGCTGCGCTTGCACAGTCATAATACTAAGCTTTTTGTTCGTATTACGAAGAAAAGATTAGTAGATAAATACGTTGATACAAGCAGAATATGGAAATATTGTCCCTAATTTAGAGATTAAAATTGGGAGTACGTACGTACATTTCATATGCGAATCTGTCAATAGTTATGAACGATATTAGTACATAGGGCTACCAACCCATCCAAAGTTACGGATGTGAAGCCACCCAAGGCTGTGCGTTGGAACGCGGAACATGGGGCTTGAAACTTGAAACAGACGAACCCTGACCGTACAGTTTCGCAGGTTCGGCGGGCGTCCCCGTGTGCGGCCCGGCCAAGCTGGAGTGCCTGCGCGAGGCCGCGCACCAGCTGGAGGAGCAGGAGCTGGTCGGCGAGAGGGAGCTGCTGGCTGGCCGGCAGCCCACCGCGGGCTGCAACTGCCTCGCGGACTGCGTGGCCCTGGAGTACGACGTGGAGCTGTACAGGGCCACCTTCGACTGGGAGCGCTCGGTGGGCGCCTGGATCTTCAACGGCTCCGACTTCATCGGGTAGGGCACTCGACACACTCGTGTAAATCTTGTCAGAATGTCAGAAACGTGTCTGAAAACCTGATCAAAATTCGCGCACCTCTGAAAACTGAAAACATATTCTGACATTCTGCAGAAGTCGGCCATCAATATCAGCATAAGTTTTCAGAATTTCGAATTTCAGCTTTCAGAGGTGCGCTTATTTTGATCAGGATTTCAGACATGTTTCTGACCTTCTGACAAAATGCACACGAGTGCAAAATAATCTGGGAATTGCCCAATATTCTTGCACTGAGAAAACCTTACAAACTATTTTAAGCGTGTCAAAGAAAAGCAGCTTGTTGTAACAAAGTATTTTGAGCGTACATAATCTTACAAAGATTTATTCTAAACTATTTCTTCGTTTCGCATCGTTTGAAGCGAGTCCTGGCGCCAGTTCCAGAGACTTTCTGTTTCATGTTGCATTTGCTTGTCTGTCGCCAGGATGGACTGCGCGCGGGTCACAATCAACGTCAAAGACAACGCCATCATCAGCAACCAACGCAGCGAGCTCTATTCCCTGGAGAAGTTCATTGGTACACGCTAAATGTCTATGTAATTTTGTTCGTGGTGCTGGTGCTGTATGACCTGTGTGACGTTTTGCATAAAATCGTGCTCAAGTTTGCATACTTCAATGCATTTTTACGCATGCAAATTCCGCGTATGCAGAAAAACGTACAAAATTCTACATATGCATTTGGTGTATAAAAATGTGTTCCTGACAAAAATCCCATTCAAGAAACAAAAAATGATACTCATTCCATTTGTGACTTAAACTTTACCTGACTTCCTTTGCATTTTCAGCCGCTTGCGCCGGAGTTCTTGGCCTGTTTACTGGCTTCAGTCTCATCAACATTATCGAGGCCGCCTTCTTCGTGAGCTGGGGATTGGTGGCAAAAATCTACCACAAAGCAAAGCACGCTCTTTGCCGCTCCTAAGTGTTCGCAGCCTTTGTTTATTTATTTTTAAAAAAATTTCTTTCGCTGTAAAACAATAAATTTAAGTATCTAGTTTTTCTACCGGAGCGTTTTTCTTCTCATTAAAACAATTTCATAATTACTCCACAACTGCTGTGTGACACGGCATGCATCGCTGTTTCCCCGGTGGCTTCTCCCTGTCCCTCGACTCTCTCTCTCTCTCTCTCTCTCTCTCTCTCTCTCTCTCTCTCTAGCCACTCGTGGCTCCTACCCACCTTACCCCCTCCCCTTCTCCCCTTTTTTGCACTCCCTACTTTCATTGTCCCTGGAGGCTCTTCCCCCCTCTCCCTGTTTTCCGTTGGCCTGGTACTTCCACCCTCCCCTCTCCTGCTCTCCCTGCCCCCCGAGTACCCGCGGCCCCGACTGCAACTGCAGCCCCGGCGGCGCCTCACGCCCCGGGTAGGGTAGTTCTTCCTCGCCGAGGGAGGCGGCATGTCGCTCCCCATCGTCATGGCCCTCGAGGACGCCGAGGACAGGTGAGTCATTCACTTCGGTCTTCGCCCCCGACTTGCCACCACTGAAAAAAAATTCCGAGGTTTGGTACGGAAAATGGGATACGGGAAAGGTACGGTCCTTCCGTACTGGTTGTCTGTGGTCTCCGTAAGGATCTCATGTAATCAGGTACGGAAAACATGTACAGAATTTCCGCGGTTGGCAAAGGTACGGACGGTCCAGGTAAAAAATTGACCAGACACGTTCCGTACTTTTTTCTACCAGGCGGGCTGATTCCAAATAGTGGTTTCGTCGCCTCTGTCCTTCTGTCCTTCCTGTCCAAACCTATGACGTGTGCTATGTTGACATATTCTGTTTTGTATATAATCGATACGAATCATTTTCTATAAAGTATTCTCAATTTATCGGTACTTGAACATTTAATGGCAAACATCGCGTAACCCTGTCCAACCGTGTACCGAAGACTTTCCTTTCGGGTATGTGCCAAATTTTGATTTTAGTAATACAGGGATACCCGAATCACTAATACCTTAGTCTGATACAGATTTCTTGAAGTGTTTACCCCCCCCTCGGGGAGAAGACCGAGACATCCATCCCCTTTGATTTCCAGGCGGCACTTTTACCATGATGACAGTGGGGTGGAACACTGTGCGGAACGCTCAGCTGCATTTCTTTATTAGTTTTTGAGTATACGCAACGTACAAAGTTCAATCTGATCGTGCATTTTGGCAAAATTGGAGGTTAAATCAAAGCGGGAGGAATTTCCCATTTGGGTGAGAAATTTTCCTGACCAAATTGGGTGAGAAAGTTTCCTCCCCATGGTCATAATAAGGACTAAAATTGCAGATCCCCATACATCCCTAACATAGGTATAGTTTTCATATACAGATGCATATTTAAGTCATTGTCTACTTTCGGCAGACTCTTTGATGCAACTACGGTATCATTTAGTATGTTTCCAGCAAGTATGCATCTGTGATTAACTTGAACTGGGCTTTCATGGGACAATCGCCCCTAATCCTATTGCAGTAACCTACATGCATCTACTGGATGCATCTGTAAGTCTCAGCTGGTGCATCTTAGTTTACTTTAAGACTCAGAGATGCTCTCGCACACCAGTTTAGAGCAAAATGGGCAGGAACTTTCCTGCCCAAATTGGGCAAGGAAACATTCCTCGCCAAATTTGGGTGAGAAAGAAACCTCGCCCAAAATTGGATTGTCTGACTTTTTCATTCTCAGTGTTTTCGCGCACAAATTTGGAGCGTTTCAAATCAAAGTGCATGCGGAATTTCGTGCCAGCGCGCAAAAAACGCAAATATCAATGAACCCAAGAGCTACCCGAAAGAAGAACAAAAACGGAAGTAAGAAATTGCAGTTTCTATGAGAAAATACGCTGGGACTCATGCGAGCGTTTTTTCAGTATCTGCAATTTCTTACTTCCGTTTTTGTTCTTCTTCTTCCGCGCCAGAGCTTCTTTGGAGTACTCTATTCGGTAGTCTGCTGGCCAGCGGATCCATAGCCTTTTTAACTGCTTGCTGTGGCAGCGGCAACCGGCGGCCCTCCGTGTTCGACTCGTCCAGCAGGCCGCCCCGCAACTCGACGCGCGAGTCGCTGCGCCGCGGCCGCACGCCCTTCAAGACCAAGACGAAGCGCTCGGCGCTGCAGCAGTGCTGGGACGCGTACTGCACCACCAGCGGGCTGCACGGCGTGTCCTACTTCGTGGGCGACGACAAGTCGCGCTTCGAGCGGGTGCTGTGGATGGTGTGCGTGGTGCTGTGCTTCGGCCTGTCCGGCCTGCAGATCTACGAGGTGTACGCGCGCTGGGACTCGTCGCCGCCCATCCTCTCCATCTCGTCCTCCACGCCCGCGCGCGACGTGCCCTTCCCCGCCGTGTCCATCTGCCCAAGAAACACGTGAGTGCACTGGTGAAACAAAGGCGTTAAATAGCATGGGGCTGACGATTTCCCCTTTGCGCTAAAGGGTTAAGCCTTTTGGAGGGCTTAAAATTTGCTTAACTATCATTCGCGCCCTTTCCAAGGGCATAAGACGATTTACGCCCTTAAAGGGCGTAAAGGAATATTTATGCCCTAAAGGGCGTAATGTTCATGCATTTGTTTTACCAGAGTGGCACAGGAATTCATCTGGATACACCTTAAGATGACACATTTCGTGCAAATCTAGTGGCAAGTAGAAGGTGTAGAAGCACTGACCTAGACATGAGAGTTCAACATTGAACGCTATTAATATGCCCCTGGAGCCAATGTAGCAGCACCAGCCGGCTTTGAGGTGGTAAAAGCATCATGCGCAAGAAAATAGGGGTGAAAGCGAAGATCGGCTCTCGTCAGTACACTTTTCGTCTAAGAAGTGTACGGTAAACATGAAAATTTGTCGCATATTTGTACTTTGAGCCTCATAGAAACTAGGCAAATGCTTCAAATGACAATCCAAGCACATCGTTGGAAAGGGGAGACTCTGACGGTCATTTTAAGACATCACGGGGGAAAATCGGCCTATAACTGCCGAAGATACAGTCGCGCAAAGTTGCAATTAGGGCCTTGAAAAACACAAACGTGGCTCTGTAGCCTAACAAACGACTCCAATCGAATTTCTGGCCGCAGATTCGTAAAGTACAGCTCAAAACCTTTCAAATGAGCCCAGAATGGTCCAAATCGGTCAATAATTGTCGATTTCAGCATTTTGGACTTCAGTAAAAACAGCCTAAATTTTTCAAAGGCGTTGAGCGACCTCTAATTTTGCGAAATTTGGAAAACCCCGAAACACATTAACTTTTTTTTTTGGATAAAAAATCAATTTTCACCCGGCAATCATGAGATTTCGAAACTTTTTGCAAAAGTGAAACACCCTAACCAACTATGGTCTAGATTTTCCCTTATGCATTTCGATGAGGGAAATCTGGGCGGATGAGTATGTTACCCTTGATTTCAAGAATTAAGTGTTGACGCTTGAAAGCAGATGGTAATACCACGCTTGGGTTTTACCCGTAAACAAATTTGTTTGCAGTATCCACTGACATATATTTTTGACGACTACTTGGAATACTATTAAGGCTCCCTGATACAGTTCGTTTTAGAGTTGGAGTATTTACAATCTTGAAATGACGTGAACCTTTTAGCAAGTTGCACAAGTATGAAAAGACAGAAAGCAAGCTGTCTTATGATGATGCTCAAAATTATTTTAATCAAGCTCTTTAATCTAAAAACATCAAAACCAGTGCTGAGAAGACACTGCCTCCTAAAGGTCGACAAACATGTGACAAAGAAAGGGTTTTTACTTTTGAGAAACGTGGGTTTTATCAAAAAACATGAATAGACATTTCGATCTATGAAAATAACAGTGACTTCGGTCAAATTACGTAGATAAACATGGAGCACTTTTTCACAAGAAAAAATCCAAAACCACAGTAAGGCCGAAATCCGGCTGTCACGCGTGCGTGCTGCGAGGGGCTCTATTTCAGCCTGGTTGCAATCACCGCAGCACAAACAATTTCCGGGTAACCTACCGTCGTTTAAGAGAGCGAGTGCAAACTGCTAACAAAAAGTTATATAGCAGAGTTCTGTGCTTCAATTAAATATTGAAAAATACTTTTGACTTGATTTGGAATTTAGGGAGAAAAAAGTAACTGAGGTAAATTACAGGTAGAAGAACTCAATAAAAAGACTGAAGCATTAACGTATCTACCCCCTTTGTGATAGAGTTTTTGCAGAGTACTAACCACATATCAAATATAAAAATGTAGAATCACTTAATCTAGTTCTTTCATAGTACGAAGCAGGACTATTCTGTCACGACCTCATGCTCCAAACGAGAAAAAAGGGCCCAAAACTCTGTTTCATTCAGCCTTAGTTTCAAGAGACTTTAGGCGACAATGTGATGTCAGTTCATGAAACTTAACGGACCACTTTGCACAAATTAATGGAGTGCTCAATATTCACTGCAGAGGCTGCCAACTGCCCAATTCAAGTCCACATGCAGTGACTTGCCAAGGCTTAATTCGGCTGCAAGCCCATCCTCTGGGGATTGAATAATTGTCAAGAATAACATCCTTCATTAAAAAAAAACCAATGGTCCATACGTAAACACATGAGAACAATTAATTCAACAAACTGAAGCATATCACTACCTCTGAAAATGGAAAAAACTCGCATGACCCATACCAGCCTGGGACTAAGCCTTCTCCACAATGTGGTTGCGAACATGACGACGAAGGTTGCAACTGGCACTGAATTTCGCATTGCAGACGGAGCACTCAAAAGGCTTCTCCCCGGTGTGGGTTCGAAGATGGCTCCGAAGGTGGTCTTCACGACTGAACTTCACGTTGCAGACGGAGCATTTATAAGGCTTCTCACCAGTGTGGGTTCGCAGATGGCGACGAAGGTTGGGTTCATTACTGTACTTCCTTTTGCAGACGGAGCACTCAAACGGCTTCTCGGTGGTGTGGGTTCGAAGATGGTACCGAAGGGAGGCTTCATGTCTAAACGTCGCATTGCAGACGGAGCATTCAAAAGGCTTATCCCCGGTGTGGGTTCGAAGATGGTTCCGAAGGGTGGCTTCTTGACTAAACTTCACACAGCAGACGGAGCATTCAAAAGGCTTCTCCCCAGTGTGGATATGAAGATGGTTCCGAAGGTGGGCTTCCTGCCTAAAATTCGCATAGCACACGGAGCATTTAAACGGCTTCTCACCAGTGTGTGTTCGAACATGGCTCCGAAGGCTGCCCTTCAGACTGAAGCTCTTGCTGCACAGCGTACACTGGAAAGGCTTCTCCCCGGTGTGGGTCCGAACATGGCTCCGAAGGTTGCACTTCAGACTGAAGCTCTTGCTGCACAGCGCACACTTGAAGGGCTTCTCCCCAGTGTGCGAGCTAAGGTGCGTAGTGAGAGACGATAAACTCGGGCACATTTTGGCGCAAACAGCGCATTTCTTGGCCATGGTGAAGAGTGGCTCTGAACGGCGAGGCTTCCCTTGACCTGGAACAAGAGGCTTATGAGTCGCACGTCGAGTCAGTGGAAGCACTGCACGAGTAAGCACGGCGGTACAAACCTGCAGTGCACTGGGCAGTTGAGGCCTCTGGCACAGGGGATGCAACTGCTCGACAGGATCAGAATCTGCAACGAGGAACACTATGCGTCAGACAACATGCGCTTGAGAATGTATGAAAAGAAAAGTAAGGAAAGTCTTTTTGCACTTAAGGCAAGTGTTTCAACTTCATATAGTAACGTTTTAAATAGTATCATAGTTGCACACTCGAGAGCCTAACAGTCTACACTTTTTGTCGCAACTCAATGAAATTACTCTTCGTGTCAAGTTCGCATTTAAATTATTGAACATGCAAAAGGATTTTGGTGCTAATGGTTTCGAAACGGATTTGTGAAGTGTCAATTTTTGTAAACAAGAAGTTCACTTTTGAACCGGGAATAATTTGTGGTTACTTTCCACCGTCGATATATAAACTTAAGTGGAAGAAACACTGGTCAAACTAAAGCGTAACTCTATGCTTGAGTCAAGCATGAAGTAACGCTGAAGACGTCACTGAAATTCGAAGGGTGAAACATCTGACCGATTTTCGGTGATACAAAAAAAATGACCGAAAAACGGTCTTACACAAATGTATGACCGAAAAACGGTCTTACATAAATGTATGACCGAAAAACGGTCTTACTTAAGGGGGTAGTACACTACGCAAGGTCAAAAAATACTGTGTTTGGCAAAAACTCCTGTGGACGCATGACATACAGGACGTAAAAACTGATCATGGGATCTTTTCATACTGTAACTAACGATCAAAATCACAAATTTTGATAGGTGTCTTGAGCAGGCTATTGCGAGTTCGTCGAATTTCGCTGAACCACTGCATAAAATACACAGGTCGTTGGTTTGCGCGATTTGGACCAAACGGTGGGACCTAAAGGGTCCAAATTTGGTGTGGACCATCTAAATACATGTCATTCTGGTGTGAACTAGGGAAAATTTTTTGGAATAATTATTAGTACCTCAAACAACACGGCAAAATGACAAATTCTGAAAAGAGCATTTTTCTAGCCCATTTTCTTTTAAAAAACTTCAGTTCAACTATAGTTAAACAAAATTGATCGCAATTATCCTAGTTCACACCAGAATGACGGGTCTCAAGATTGTCTGTGCGAAATCTCGTCCAAATGGGATGAAAATTGCGGTCTGTATCACGCAAACCGTGTTATTTTTGCACTGGTTTGTAAAAAAATCGTGAAAGTCGTAATTGCTGCCTCCAACTGCGCTCCATACATGTGATTTTGGTCCAAAATGAGAGTTAAATAAGGTCCCATAGTCAGTTTTGGCGTACCTCACCTCCTCTACCCGCAAATAATTTTCCTAAACACGCAATTTTTTAAACCTTGCGAAGTGTACTAGGGTTAAGTGCCGAACATGGATCGGGGTACCAAACATGGATCATTTCTGTTTGGGGGTCTATAACTAAAGACCAGGTGACCAGATTCTAAATTTCTGTCTTCTCTTCAAATCAAAGAGTGTACATGGTACGCTCTAACTGGAGCATGCTTGCAAGCACGCTCTAACTAGCGCATGCCTGCCAAGCATGCACTAACTAGTGCATACATGCCATGTACACGCTAACTGAAGCAGACGTTTACTCCATAAGGGATAGGGAGTTTTCTGCATCAGGAAGCGTGTACATGGCATGTATGCACTAGTTAGTGCATGCTTGGCAGGCATGCGCTAGTTAGAGCGTGCTTGCAGGCATGCTCCAGTTAGAGCATACTATGTACACTCTTTGATTTGTAGAGTTTCCTTGCTTAGACTGACCCTTTGACTGTTCGATGTGAATCTGACAAGTTTGTAACTGCGTCTCTCTACTCTGCAGGGTTGCGTTTAGAAAGCCACCTAAAACAGGCCCCCGAAAATCGATGGAAAAATGACGTTCAAAAAGGTGATTTTTGCATCCCTGATTCTGGGCCAAGCAATCACCGCAGTCACTTCAAAAATTTTCATCTTGCACTTTGGACAGACTACTTTGATATTTTGGAACTACTGAATGCATACCTTGCTTTGTGTCCGTACGCTGGTGGGGTGATCCATGATTGGACCACCCTAACCTAACCTTAGCAAAAATAGCCATATTTTCGTGTCCTCACAACTTCCAAAGTATTCGAGTTAGAGGTACCATTTTTGGTAGCCATATGACCAGTAAGGTAAACATCAATATTAGATTCAAAAATAGTAGTCAACCCATACTTAATTTTGATCTAGAGAAGATTATTTAAAAAGTGATCCATGTTTTGTAACCTTACCCTACCCCCTTAAATGTATGACCAAAAAAAGGTCAGACATCAGCGAGACTGGCTATTGTTCAGCTTGGGGATATATCAGCCATTACCCGTGATACACTATAAAGTATGACCGTTTTTTTGTCATACATCGAAGTATGACCTTTTTTCGGTCTTACATTTCAGTATGACCCTTTTTCGGCCGTACATTTCAGTAAGACCGTTAAAGGGGTCAAAAGTCTGACCTTTCTATTTTCAGTGGTTACGCTGCGAACGAACCGTACTCCGGAAATTCCCCCGCATTTAGATAATTAGATTGGCGGATGAGCCTGTTACGCTTGATTTCAAGAGTAACCTGATTACGCTTGAAGACAAAGGGTAATACTACGCGTAAGTTTTACCAGTGAAGATTTGGGGAGCGTTCACTGAGACGCGACACCGATTACTACACTCTAAATGTCTTACGTAGAAAGTTCCCATCACTGAAAATAGAAAGGTCAGACTTATGACCCCTTAAACGGTCTTACGGAAATGTGCGACCGAAAAAGGGTCATACTGAAATGTAAGACCGAAAAAAGGTCATACTTCGATGTATGACCGAAAACTGGTCATACTTTATAGCGTATCACGGGTAAAGGCTGATATATCCCCAAGCTTAACAATAGCCTGTCTCGCTGATGTCTGACCTTTTTTTTGGTCATACATTTACTCTGCAAACTCAACAGTGTACTCAGTACACTCTGGTTAGAGTGTGCTCATGAGTACACTCTAAGTAGCGTGTACTCGGATGAGTACACTCTAACTAGCGTGTACTCAGATGAGTACACACTTTCCGCTGCATAAATTGCCAGGCGTGCTTGTGTACTCATCTGAGTACACTCTAGTTACTCATCCGAGTACACGCTAGTTAGAGTGTACTCATCCGAGTACACGCTAGTTAGAGTGTACTCATCCGAGTACACGCTAGTTAGAGTGTACTCATGAGCACACTTTAACTTGAGTGTACTGAGTACACTGTTGAGTTTGCAGAGTAAGTTTGACCGTTTTTTGGTCATACATTTGTGTATGATCGTTTTTCGGTCATACTTTTTGTATCACCGCAAATCGGTCAGATGTCTCACCCTTCGAGTTTCAGTGTAAGTAGTCCTTTTGGTAATATTTATGGGCTTTTAGCGGTAATATACAAGTAATATCCCGCCGGTGTACGCAGTAATATGCAAGTTGGCGACCCCTCGGACCGTGACGTTGAGACACATGTGATGTCACGTTCCTGGAATGAGAGTGGCTTCAGCGACCAATAGAATTAATTTGATCATTCAACCTACGTGTTGGCCAGGCGGCGGTGCTGTTTCACCGACCCACGGTGTTCGCAGAGCGACGGTGACGGCGGGACAGCCAGTCCTCCACCAAGTAGCCGAGTGAAGCCTCAGCCGTGTTTCGCTAAGAGATGGCGAGACACGAGCAACTTGTCAGATCATCCAAAGCGCTCCTCGAGATTACCCTCAACACAAATGTCGCTTCAGGAATTATACAGAGGAAGCCCGGACCGGAAGCCAAGAGGAGCCATCTGCACACTTTTCAACGCGTCTTAGGGAGCTAAGGCATTTCACCACTAAACTTTGATGAAATTAACCTAACTTCACAAATAACTTCATCATTGGGACCGTTACGCCGAGATATGAACTCGTAGAACACGCGTTTCCGGCCGACATGGCGGCTGCCCGTGCGACCCTCTCTGAAATACCCTATTTTAAATGCAGACTTGGCGGCGTCATGACGAAGACGCGCTTTGATTGGTCCAGCAGTACAATTTCTCACGTTCAGCAACACTGGCCGATGCTCGCCATTTCCAAGTTAAACACGGTCCGGGTGTGGCCAATAAGGTACTTTCGTGGATTCCTGAACCGGAAGCACACAGACGCCATGTTGTCGGAAGTAGATCCAAACTTGACATGGGAAAGAGACGTTAGTCAAACGTATCGGCCACACTTGAACATAAACAGTCGTTTAATACTTGTTTGCAGTGCATGTGTGTTTCGCGAGCAATATGTTTACAGCTCGGCTAAAGTTTTAGATCCGAAGAGAGGTTAGTTTCCGGCCAATTTGGCGTCTGCTGGTCTGCTTGCTTCCGGTTTCAGGATCTACGAAAGTACCCTATTTCGTACTTCCCAATGCGCCGCTAGAAGCGCTGTACTCCACGCGGGCCGAGGCCGGGGGACAATTTAAGATCCGAGCAGTGGGCCGACCCACAAGCCCACTCGCTGGAAAACCCAGGTGAGGTGAACGCAACTCAACTTACCCAGTACCCAGTGTCCCTACCGTCACCGTCTCGTCTGCCGTACACCGTGCACTCACCTTGAGGTTCGCCAGTCGACTGCGTTAGAGCAAGTTGGTTGCCGATCCGACGTCCTCCGTAACGACACGAATCTCAAATCTTCTGTCGAAGCGTCCAAGAGTTCAGCGGCTGTAATCCGGGCGAGGAAACTTTTATCCATGTCCGCCAGGGGCACTCGCAAGCAGTCAGGCAAGGCCGCTTCCAAGCCGAGCACCGAAGTCACCTCGAGGGAAGTGAGAGTGGCGACTCAGAAGCTAAGTGGACCAGGACTTGTGAGACCTAGCGTACAGTGCACCCCTTTTTTAAAGTAAATCTTTCACGCGATGCTATGAAATGTTTACATGTAGTTCCGAGACCACGAACTTTTCAAGAAAGATTTGAAACTATTTTTATTTGTATTATTTACAAACAGTGACGGGGCCAGTTCTTTGAAGGTGAATTGTTTTTCAATTTCCATCCGAACCTACGACATAGTAAAATGGGGATTTGAGTTTCAAAGTTCAACTCACCTTTAGGCAAGCGAAAGGAACGTCTCCATCACGCCCTGGCGTAACCGGGCAGTTATGTATTGTTCATCAAGTGCCCCGTGCCCATTTACAGATTGATGTGCTTTTGAAACACTTCACATATTTCATAATTTATGATCTAAAGCGGAAGGAGGTATCTCCATTATGGCTATTTTCATGAGAAACAACAAACTGTTTGACGGGAAATATCTTTGAAATATATGCTCTCAGTGACAAAGTCTTGTAAGCCAAGCATCATGAGATCACTCCTCCGTAGTGCGTCTCAACAACTCTTCACTTCCCGTAAAAAAATAAAGAAAAAGAGTCAATTCAACATCTATTCTCAAAACCAAGCGGAATTTGGAGGCAAACTGGTGCACCCATGATCTGGGTAAAGTGTTACTTACTATGTACTTGTACTAGTGTATTTTTTCTTTAATTTTTTTTAAAATTAAGTTTTTAGTTGATGTGGGCTTGAGGGAGGCATGTGGACCTTAGTTGAGCCATCTCTAGTATGCGATGAAATTTGAACCGTTAATGGGCTTACATGCTTTTTCCACGTGGATAACTGTCAGGCGTTGAGTCCAATAATTTGGAATATTGATGGAAACTAAGGGAGGGTGGGGTACAATGGGACACGGGGCACAATGGGACACTGTCAAATTAGCCACCTTGCGGTGTTCGTAGGATCTGCGGGTTACGCTCGATCATAGGCCAGCAGTTGCCATGTTAGTTTCACAAGCGGGAACTTTATTCGACTGAGCGTTCTTTCGGCAGGTCGAAGCAAAGTGCGAATGTAAGAAAAACGAGGTAAAACTAGCAAGACCGGAGAATTTTGTTTTTCCTCTAGCATTTAAAGTATTTGTCGCACGTTCGTAGCGAGTTCACCAGTGTGTTCGTTGGTCTTTTGAGGTTCAGTGAGACTTGTCTGGGCGCTCTGGCTTTTGGGGTTGAAGAGCTAGAGCGTGTCCAGTCCAGCGTGTCGTTCGGGGCACAATGGGACACCCTCGTTTGGGGCACAATGGGACGTGTTAATCAAAGGGCTTTCAAGTTTTAGTTGTAGTTTATGTCTAAATGAAGCCAAACCATACGTTAATTATGTTATTCACAAGAATTTTTGCATCAAACATTTCATTTGCGCTTTTTACTGTATTTAACACTGCATTTTCTTCATTTGTTACACATCATACTCCGGATTTTTTTTTTTAAGGCAACCAGGAACGTAAGTCCTTTTTCAAAATAGTTTGTGACGAAAATAGATCAAAACCTATTGCCCACAATTTTTTGAATGCTCCTTCGCTTTATTTTTAGCTCATAAAAGGGTGTGTCTCAATGTGCCCCAAGGCTGTCCTATTGTGCCCCAGCCCGGGGCACAATGGGACAGGTGACACTTTTCGGCAAAATGTCTCCACAGACCAAAAATGCCGTATAATCAATTTTATGGTCAAATAAAAGTTATAGACAAATAAACAAAGAACATTTTGAGCTATCGGGCGGCATTCTACACTGTTAGAAATTCTGTCGTAAATTAGCGACAAAAAAGTCGCTAATTTTCATAGCGACGGAAATCGTTCTTAAACTACTTCGTCGTAACTGAACGACTAAAAAATCATTTCTCTGCGACAATGTCGTAATCACAATTACATATTTTGACAACTGAAATCCCCGAAAAGTTGGTGAAAAGTTACAATTTAGTCACTTATTTACGATTTGTGTCGTTCATTTACGATTCATAACACACATTTACGACAAGAGTCGTAAATGTACGACTGAAGTCATAACTGAACGACATATTCGAAAGACAATTTACGATTGTTCGTAGACTTACGATTAAGTCGTAAATTTACGACTTAATTCGTTTTAAAACGAAACGTGTCGCTATCAAAATTAGCGACAAATATGTCGTACATTTACGATTCAAGTCGTATATTTACGACTTCAGTCGTAACAAAATATGTCGTAAATTGGCGATCATCATTTTTAACAGTGTAGCTCCAACGGTCTCGGATCTAGGCCAAAAACAAAAAAAGCGTCCCATTGTACCCCACCTTCCCTTACTCTGAAGCTCGATAAGAATATGAAAACTTATTTGGTGATAAGACAAGGTATTTCCCTCTTTCACTTCCTGGATTTAATATCACGCAGAATTATTTAATCGTCAGTTTCAAATTTTATTGCAATCTCTTCAAACGTCAATAAACGTACACAAGAAATGCATTGAATATTGTAACGCGACATATTGCGATGTGTGACCGACCCCACTGTTGGATTCCTCACCCGGAGTTGTTGCGGGGGGCAATTTGAATCTCGCGCCGCTTCTGTCATCCAGCCCGCTCACGGCTATCTGGAGCGCGAGGCCCGCGGCGCGATGATGAGTGATGAGGTAGTAGCAATAGCGGAGCGGCGCTCCGCCGGGCCCTTGGCGACCCGCGGGAGCCCTCCAGCCGGACACAGACGACTGACTCGAGGCAGTCGTCTGGATACTCGGTAGTAGCGAGGGTGTGTGGAGCCCCAAACCTTGTATCCACCGTTTGATTATCGTAATACAACCAGAATTCATTGGTGGGGTCACACGTTCGGTCTGAGTCCCTTTCAGCGACTCTGGAGCTCAATACGCGTCCCTCGTTTTGGCCGCCTCCACCGGTCTTCACTGTGTTCCTGGCGTCCTCACCCGCGCTGCCCGTGTTGTTTGGGGTAGGGTCAGCGGGGTGGTACTGAAGCACTAGATTCAACTGGATCATATTCTTGCCACTGCATTGGCAAGCCTTGACGGGAAATCTTTATCAGCTCAACAACTTTTAGCGCTTCGGCCGCCTGCAATGCCTAATTTTGGCAAGCTGGGGAGGCCATGCTTGCCTTTTTTTAAGCATACAAAACGGCTTGCCAATTTTGTTTGTGTGCTTCTAAGTCAGTACACTCCCCCGGCTGTGAACTAAGCATGCATTTGAACTTGTACTGTGCGAATTTACCAGCATTTATCCGCGATACCAATCTTTTCCTCGAATTCGGACCGTAAGATGAGGAAACAGAAACTTTTCTACTACAAAGAAGCACGACGTTCGTATGCTTGCGTCGATTTCTTCACTGTTCGGGATTATTTTGTGTAATTGCGATTAATTGTCTGTTAAATCTGTACCACTCTGCAAACTCAACAGTGTACTCACAAGGGAACGTTCTCAGGTGTCAGGAGCCGATTGCTCCCATACTTCGGGATCTTAAAGACCACTTCAAAAAAGAATTTTCGCCACCCACAGTTCGTGCTGAAAGTCACTACAACGCATTAAAATGGAAGTTGAAAATTGACCAATTTCCATAAAATTGACCAAAAACTGATTTTGACCAAAAAGTTCCCAAATAGTCTGAAACGCCCATAAATACCGTTTTTTTTCGATTTTGGACATAAATTTTTTTCCTCTCTCAGAAATTGAAAAAGAAATTGATTTTATTTCTTACGATTTTGACTGAAAAGTTTCCAAATGGCCCAAAACGTCCAAAATTATCATTGTTTTCGATTTTGGAAGAAATTTATTGTTTTGCCCTCTGAGAAATTAAAAAAAATGTAAAATTGCGAACTTCACAAGTTAAGCTGTCAAATGGTTAAAAACGCCGAAAAATGTCATTGTTTGAACCTTGGAAGAATTTTTTTCCCAACGGAGTTAAGGTCAATACCTGCCGAAGTCACCCCAAGATTCCGATGTCACCCCAAATAACGGTAACACAAAAAGGCCAAATAAATTCTCACATTGAAACAAACGTTTCAGTGGGTACAGCAGGTAATGTTACCGTGAAACGGGGTAACTTCGGACTCTTTTGAAAGGTTTTTTTGGCCCGCCCTTCTATTCAAAAAATAGGGGGGGGGGAGCCTATGCATTTGCCTTTGTGTCTGTGTGTTGTTGTTGTTGTCGTCGTCGTTGTTGGCGTCTGTGTACAAGGAAGGAGTTGAGCTAGAGTAACCAGATTTGGAGGGTACTTCAGGAGTACCGTCCAAACAAATAATCCGGTGGTGCAAATCCCGTCCGGGTCGCACAAGGGCTGCTGCAGGTGCATCATGGTTTACATGAGCGGGAGGGGGATTTCCGCCATTTTTGGTGCTAGCAGGGCACATAGGGGTATTTTTGGAATCGGGGCGACGAGACAAGCCGGCACAGCGAAGCGGAGCTGGCAACTCGGTTCGACGGAAGGGCGGGCCCTAGCTTGTTGAGATTGTGAAAGTTGTAGTACTGTCATGGACTTGAGGGTTAAAATTTATCTTCTACCCACCTTTAGCTTCGTTTTGGCGCTAATTTCAAATATCTGCCCCTCACCGTTTTTACAGTGGAGGGTCCAAGCAGTGTCCGAAATTACCCCGTGTTTTGAGGTAATTTCGGACACCCCTGGAAAAAACGACTTTTCGTTCTGATTTTGGCCTCAAAATCGATCACTGTCTCTTTCTAAAGTGCTAATATGATTATATGAGCAATTCGTAAGGGTTTAGATGTAAAGGTAAGGTAGGGGTGGTTATTCATACATAATTTGAAGTCATGTTTTTGCACTCATATGTAGTTCGATTTCAGGAATAGTGGGTGGAACTAGTAGAGCCATTTAGAAAGCTTCTATTTTTAAATTTTTGACCGATTAGCTTTTATAGGCAACTCGGGACATACTTTATTACGCGACAGTGAATCTTAAATCTTCCTCCACAACATTACATGCGATCACATACATGCATATGAAGGGCAAGTAGGGGGCCGTTCGAAAATGACGTCACACTAGAGAAATCGTGACCAAATGTGACATGGGGGAGAGGGGGATTAAGGCATTGTGACATCACACTTTTAAGTAGTGTAAAATTGCCAAATATGAA